TGAGGAGGAGATCAAGCAAGAGCAGGAGGAGAATAAGAAGCAGGCGGAGGAGCCGAAGCAGAGGAAAGCGGCGTTCAAGGAGCTGCAGTCCACCTTCAAGCAGTGACAGGGCGTGGGGTCGGACAGGACTGGGCTGTGGTGCCTGAGGCCGGGATTGCTGCAAGTGCTGACCGTGCCAGGAGTGATGCCTGAGCTGCGCACTGCCTGTGACTCCCCAAAGGCTGAGCTGCTGGTCTGGGCTTCCTGAGAGCCTGGGTGGCCCTGACCCCCCCCCACCTTGGTGTCTGTAGGTGTTGTTTGTACCCCCCTGTGCCTAGCTGCTTCAGCCTGTGGGCAGCAGCACCCTGTCCCCTGCCGGTAGCCATGCCAGGGGTGACCGCTGCCAAGCCCCCAGGACACTCCTCCCTCGAATGCCTGTCCTTGGGTCACCCGTCCCCAGGCTGTCGTGTGTTGTGCATGCACTGTGAGGTTTGCAGGGCCGCGGGGGCTTTGCCTGGGCAGGTTCCTGTCGTGGGGGCTCGGTTCCTGTTGGCGTTGCTGTGTGTGGCCGCCTCACTGCGACACTTTGCTGAAAGCTGAGAGTGACAAGAGCCCAGTGCCAACAGAGGAGCTGTGTGTGCGTGTGTGCCAAGGGTTCGTGTGCATGGGTGTGCAGAGCCCACCCAGCTGCCGTGCAGGCCCCCAGGGGCCAAGCGGCACCTGCATCTGCTTATCTGCGTCTCTGTTTCGGTAGAAGATGTACGGAAAGGCAGCTGCTGGCTCATAATGCTGTATTATGGGGGGGGTTGTGTTGTTTTCAGGCCAGGAGGGTGTGTTGCAGCCACAAGTGGTTCCCGTACGTTGATTGAAGCTCCTGTGTTTGTGGGTGGCTGTAAAGAGGCATCTGTCTCATGGCGTCCCCCGTGCAGCCGTATCAAGGTTTATGTTTTGTTTTGTTTTTTTTATTTTAATCCCAAATAAATATTATATTTCTAAGTGTGCTGGGTGCCTGTGTGGGAGGTTAAGGCACAGTCGTGTCTGCGATGGGGTCTTGGGCTGGAGGAAGGAGCCTGAGGGTAAGAGGGGTCCAGCTGTGGGCGCCCAGTCACCGCTGCTGGAGCTGGCTCCCCCCATCCCACGGTGGGCAGTGGGAAATGACAGGGAGCCATGGTGGTGCTGGGACATAGAATAGAATCGCAGAAATGTTAAGGTTGGGAAAGACCTCACATCCAGTCATGAATCCAGCACTACCCTGACTGCTAAACATGTCCCCAGGTGCCATGTCTACATGTTTCTTGAACATCTCCAGGGATGGTGATCCCACCACTGCCCCAGGCGGACTGTTCCCATGTCAGCGTGGGAATCATCGGGGGCCTGATCCAGGTGCATGGACGTGGCATTATCAAAGGTCTTCAGCCTCCCTGCTGCCCTCTGCCCCTGGGATGAGGGGTCCTTGGTCCTGCACCAGTGACGTGAGAGGGGGCAGCTGGTGCTCGAGGTTGGGGGGCAGTTGGACTGCCCGGCACCTCGTAGACTAAGGCACAGCAGGGGGGACTGCACTCGAGCAGGGACCCTCCCTCCCTGTCCCAGGGTCTGGTGTCCCTGGGGCCAGGTGTCCCTGCCATGGCACGGAGGGCAGATGTGGCCATTCCCAGAGGGGATGGGTGATAAGATGGGGTGACAGGGTGGTGGGGCCCCCAGCGTGGGACAGTCACCACATGCCCCAGTGGGCGG